AAATCACAAGAAGACCATAGAAAATGGGGTTGAGGGATTGGGCGAGATGATACTCGCCTCAGGTGAGCAATGGATCCCTGGATCTGAAGGAGAACGTTTCCCCTCGCTGAATCCCACCAAAAACTGCTGCAAATCCTCAAGAACTTCTCCCAAATCACCAAACACGGAGGATTAGGGTTTTAGAGAAGAGAGGGGGGCCAGGGTTAGTGATTTCAGATGCAAAGAGGGTTATCTCGGATCATTAGCCTATATACCAACTCACAAACCCTAGTGATTTCAGATGCAAAGAGGGTTATCTCGGATCATTAGCCTATATACCAACTCACAAACCCGACCCAAAACCCGTTTGAACCCGAACCTGAGAAAATGCTCTGACCGCTGTGCGGTCAACCGACACGGTCGACCGCCACGGTCGACCGCGTCGGTCGACCGCACAGCAGAAAAATGCCTGCTGCTAGGCATTTAACATGCTGGCCATAACACTCGATTTCTCTCACATAGAAACATTTGATGGGGTCTCAAACACAGATAATTACGTTCATCTGATATATATATGTATATATATATAATTATTTATCATAAGAGAATTATTCACTATTAATAATTCACATATATTTATTATAGCAAATTTCGGGGTTTTACAATAATGGTAACAGCGGAAGAGATGAACAGTAGAAAGAGAGAGAGGAGAAAACATTTAAATATATATATATAAAGAATTTTAGGGTTAGGGTTTAGGTATTTAACTAAAATAATTAAAGTAATTAATTACAAGTACTTAAAAATTAACTAATTACAGAATAATTATCTACAAACAAAAACCTACATGTTGTGCTATTACAACAGTTGATACAAAATAGTCGAAATATATTTACTTATATTTAAAATCAAATAATTATGAGATAATTATGTACACCGTAAAACATACCCGTTATACTAATACAACAGATAATATGTAACATTAGAAATAATACAACTAATTATACAAATAATACGTAATTAATAATACAACATATTATACAAAAATATACATAATAATAATAATAATACCACGTATTATTCAAAATGATACGTAATAGTATCTGTAACACAGTGGATAATTTCTAGAAATTTTTACTGCATTAAATAAATTTATAAATATTTAAATCATTTAAATAAATATAAAACTTAAACTTTAAATCATAGAAAATTATAGAAATTTGAGAAAAATATAAATACTCTTTTAAAAATAATAATTAAATATTTTAAAATACCAGAAAATTATTTTAACTAGTATCAAATTTTATGGTCCTTACACCTTGGTTTTACCCTGAGGAGGTGCCAAGGACTTTTATTGACTTAGCCGAGGGCCCAGTTGACTAGGTCTTTGATGTCTTTCTTTTTATTTTTGATATTTTCATTGATTATTGGGATTTATACATGATAGAGTACAACTCATTCACATTTATCCCATCGGGTGATGCCTACTCCATGTTTCTTGTCTGTGTGCGTCTTGGAGACAGCTTTGAGGGGGCCCATGCAACTTTTGTGATGTGGGCTTCTTGTTGGAGAGAACCCCACATGCCGACGCTTTGTTCCCTGAAATTTGATGGGATCATTTTTTTTCCTCTTGAGGTTTTCAGGGATAGCGACGGCCGGACCATCCTATAAATAGAGGAGCCTTCCTGCAGGGAGAGTACAAGTCACATGCTTCGACCACCAGGTTTTACTTCGACCACCAGGTTTTACTTCGACTCTGGCGGTTCTAAGCAACGACTGGGGGCCAAAGCTGTTAATCTTCCTGAGAAGACCAGATGGCGAGCCCTTGAGTTTTCCCCGCAATCTCATCCTTGGTGAGGAAGGACTCTCCTTTGAAGGTAGTGATGGTCCAAGGAGCCTGCCACAGACCTGATCGCTACTCCTTGTTCGGGGGAGCCATTACCGACAGGAGCTTGAGCGATACTGAATCTGATCATTACCCTTGAGGGTTCTGTTTGCGATCCAACCCCAGGACTCTTGGTTGTCTAGGCGGTGGGGTTTTTCATCTGTGGCGGTGATTAGAAGCCTGTGCTTCATTCTCAAGCCAGACAAGCACCATAGTGGTGTGTCTTTTCTTAGGAGGGCTTTCGGGGTTCTACTTGGCAAATACTCCCCAGAAATCTGCTGGAGCCTCTAAGGGCTACACCCACATTGGCTCCTCATAGCCATAGGCTAATTCTCCTTATCTTGAATGATGTGATTCCAGGCTTTATTTAGCTTGAACGGTGTAATTCCAGTGCTCTTCAAGAATGAACAATATTAGGACCCGACTTGGAATTGGGCATTTTTTCTCAGAGAAGAAAGTAGGCCCCACAGTGGGCACCAAACTGTTGATACTCGTGAATAAATAGTCGATGGGGGTTTCCCGCAGTCGGATGTAGTTTCAATCCTGGTGATGGTGGGGAAGAAGGAGAGGATGAATGTTAGGACCGACTCCTCCTCCGACTTTATGCCCGATCTTGAGTACGCGGGGTGGACTGATAATCTGCACATACAAGAATCGTAGGAATACATGGCTAGTTTTTCTCGTGGTACCTCCGACTATCAAGTCAATGGATGAACTTGGGAGGGTTTGTTGAGAGGCCCCTTGGGCCATTGAGGTCCTTGCAGGGGTTTTTTCCTTTTGGAATTATTAAAAATCAAAAGGGGAGTAAAGCTAAGGTGCAAGAAGAAGTAGCCAGAGCCCTCTTTGCCCTTATCTTCCTTACCTCCTTTTATAGCCCCCTTGCCTCTGGGAGTTTGACCCTCGGCTTTTGTTGACTATGCACAGGAGGCGGTTTGAAAGGTGAACAGGTAGGCTGCTGAGTCATCTTTCTTCCTCCAGGTGTCGGCATGCGACTGTGAGGTAAGTCACTCGGGGTCAGGGGAGAGAAGTCTTCTCAGTGCTCTGGGTTTGTCAGAGTAGGAAGGGTGTAGGGTAGGTCGGCTGTGTGGCCGTCCTTCTTTCTTTAGGTAGCGGCTGAGAATTGGAGGAGAAGTCATTTGTGTACAGAGAAGCATCATGGCAATTCTCTGGGAAATGACTTGTGAGTGGAATAGACGGCTTGTGCAGGAGATCCTTGTCAGAGCGTAGATCTTGATGGGACTAGTCAATGCTGTAGCTTCAAGTGACATTTGAAGTGGTCTTGGTCAGATCTTATCCCTTTAGTCGAGTCGGGTTGATCCGTGAGTCATCACTATGATTTGTCGACTGATAACCGAGTGAGTTATGAGACGAGAGCGCCATCAAGACGTCCGTTCGGGGAATCGTCTTAACTGCGGAGGACCGACTGGTCTCGCGCTTCGAGTCGGTTATGACGACTCTTGGTCGAGAGAGGGCTTTGCATGCTTGACTGGTCAATAGACTTGACCTCAGTCCGGGCTTCTGAGTTTCTTGAGCCGGTCAGGACCATAGCTTTTTGGGCCTTTATAGTCAATCTTTCGACGATCTTATCTTTAGATGGTAAAATACCATAACAAATGTGTTTTTTATTGTTTTTTTTTTGTAAAAAACACCTTGCATGGTGTTTCTTTTTTAAATGTGTTTTGAAAACACCATTTTGGTCAAATTAGTTTGATCGTTTATATAGCGATAGTGGGTTCGGCAGCGGCGGCAAACTGCGGTTGGGTGGCGGGTGATCGGTGACCGGCCGTTAGGCGACGAGTGAACGACGACTGTCGACTACCGACAGGTAGCGGCGAGTGGCCAGGCGGCTGGCCGACGAGCGGCGCGGGCGGGCCGGCGACGGGTGGCCAGTGGCCGCGCCAGGCGAGTGGCGGCGGGTGCCGGCGGGCGACGGCGGCGAGCGAGTGGCGTTGGTGGCGACAGCGGGTGAGGGTGGCCGGCGGCGGACGATGATGGTGGGTCGACGGGCGGACGGGTGGCTGGCGGCCGGCCGACGGGTGCGGCGGGCGACGGGTGCCGGCGGAGCGACGGAGCGACGCGAGCGACGAGGCGGCGACGGTGGCGGTGGCGGGTGAAGGGTGGCCGACGGCCTGCTGATGGCGGCAATGGCGTGCCGACAGGTGGCCGACGGTAGCGGGACGCCGGTGGGCAGCGATGGTGGCGGCGTGTGGCGTGTGACCAACGGGTGGCGGTGCGACTGGGCGGGCGGCGGCTGTGGCGGCGGGTGGCTAGTGGCCGACCAACGGACGGGCGACGGCGACGGTGGTGGCGGCGATGGTTGGATAGTGGATGGCGGCCGGCTGAGCTTGGCGGACGGCGACTGGCCGGGAGGCGGCAAGGCGGTGGCGTGGTGCGACGGCGAGGCAACGGGCGGGGCGGCGGGCGGTGGTGGCGACGGCGGGCGACGGGCGACGGTGGCGTGACCGGACAACGGGCGGGCGGCTGGCGGGCCGGTGCGGGCGGGCGAGCGGCTTGCGACGGCTTAGATAAAAAAACGGAATCTCAATACACCTTTTTGATGTTTTGAGAAAAATGTTTAATTTTTAGATTTTGTAAAGGGACAAGTTAACAAAACGCCCCGGTTACCAAACGCGTTTCCTTGTTTTTGTTGAAAAAAAAAAACAGAAACGATAAAAACACCACGGTTGCTAGACGCTCTCTTAGTTTTTCCCTCAATAGTGTTGTTGTTAAAATGTAGGCTTTCTAAATGAAGAGAGATGCTAACAAACAACCTTTTTTGTATGCTAAGCCCATATATCCCCGTGCCAGTGGACTGCGTCCGACCTTTTCCGTGGCTCATATCATATTTGCTGATATCAACAATAATTAAGGTCATAGTCAAGTAGCAACTTTATTTTAGGTGTTTTCCCCATTAGGATGCTAGTTGCTACCATGGACATAGAGAGGTCACTTCACTGAAATTGAAATCACATAGAAAAGCATGACATGACACGTCTACAATTTTTGTGTAATAATATAATCATAGAAAAATGTATGTCATTCTCTCTTCTTTGTATGGTTACCCCCTCTTTTTTATGATGAAGTACTTATTCCCTTCCCCTTACTTATGTATTTCTTTTTTGCTTCTCAATTTTAGGTTTACTTTGCGTCACGCACCAAATATTGAGCAAATAATTTGTATTATCTATATCATGCTTGATCCAACGGTCAACATTACATCGTGTTATCGTCAAAATAAAGTGTCTCTTTATTACTTTAAAAATACCGAGTTCTATTAATCCGTCTCTGTATTAAATTTTAGTCGCCTCCCATCATCAGTTCGTTCTTCCCCAATTGTAATAAATGAAAAGGGGGAATAAATAAATAGTATTAAAAAAAAAACGAAATTTCGTTTTCCAACCTCATAATCTGTCCACCGATTCATAGGGCTTTTGTTCTCTACTCCCTCAATTTTCAACCCTTTTTCTCCTCTCTCGATTTGACCGCATGAGCTGTTCTAGGGTTTTAGTCGAGAGCCCATCTAGGGTTTTGGCTTAGCCTGCTGCTTTACTCGTTGATCAGCGAATTGAAGAGGAGAATAATATGATTTCAGAGAAACCAGCTTGGATTCGGCATGAGGGGCTTCAGATCTTCTCGATTGACATTCAGGCTGGTGGTGCTAGGTTTGCAACTGGAGGAGGAGATCATAAGGTGAGATCTTTTTGAACTGGGTAGTATTTGTTCTACTTGTTTCGTTGTGGGTCTTGCTGAATTTTGATTATGTTCTTTGCTTCACTTTGAATTAGGTTATCTTTTTCTAGTTTAAACCCTTTCTATGCTTTTGGGGTTGTTATCTAGCTGAAATTAGTATTTATAAGTGGCACATTGATGAAGGTCTTACTGAAAACTGTTGGAAGTTAGTCATCTTGATTCCACCTTCACTTCGAATCAGAGCTTTGTTAACTCTGTTGTGTCAATTTAGCTTCTTTACACCCAATTCTCCAAATCCGGCTGCTTGCGTTAATCAGTAAGATTTTTTCAATGTACCACTTATGCTGTCAAAGAATTATCTTGGAAGAAAATGTGTTGGCAAAAGTTGTTTATGGGAGCTGATGAATCGTATTGCTGGATTTTTTTATTGTTAATTATGACAATTTACCTTAGTCTTTCCTAAATTTCTTCTTCTTAATCGATGCTCTTGATTTAGGTGCGAATATGGAACATGAAATCGGTTGGAAGAGACTTGGATAATGATGAATCTAATCAAAGATTGCTGGCAACCCTTCGTGATCACTTCGGATCAGTCAATTGTGTTCGGTGGGCCAAACACGGTCGGTTCCTTGCTTCTGGTTCTGATGATCAGGTGATTTTGATTCACGAGAGAAAACCAGGCTCAGGTACGACTGAATTTGGTAGCGGTGAGCCTGCGGATGTGGAGAATTGGAAGGTCATTATGACATTAAGGGGGCACACTGCTGACGTGGTATTCACTTTGTTCTTCTTATGTTTATTTATCAGAGATTGTATTGTTTCTTTAATTGTTTCATACCACTTTTCTATGTTTGAAGTAGGTGGATCTCAATTGGTCGCCAGATGACTTAACATTGGCTAGCGGCAGCTTGGACAACACCGTTCATATATGGAATATGACCAATGGAATTTGCACTGCTGTATTAAGAGGCCACACTAGTTTGGTTAAAGGGGTTGCATGGGATCCCATCGGCTCCTTTATAGCAAGCCAATCAGACGACAAGAGCGTCATCATCTGGCGCACCAGCGATTGGAGTCTTGCTCATAGGACTGATGGACACTGGACGAAATCTGTATGTTATCTGCAGTAGAAAACTTTTTCAGAAAACTTTACATTTGGGTAAATTTCACAAAACCCCTAATACTTTGGAGCCTTTCCCACAGAACTACAATACTTTGTTTTCCCCTCTAAAAAGCAAAAATTATTGCCACATAACCCTTAAAAGTGACATAAATACCCTGAGCAAAAAAAGAAAAAAAAACTTTTTTCAATCTTTTTTAATTATTGTTTTGGCAAAGAACCCTCACTTTAAACACTTCTCCCAAAAACCTTATTCATCCTTTTTAATAAATGTGAGGGTTTTTTTCCAAAAAATTAAAAAGAACTTAAAAAGGATTTTTTTTGTAGTGAGGGACATTTTCCACTTTGGGGTTTATGCAGGAGAAGTTTGTGGTGCTTCTTGAGAAAAACAAAGTATTGCGGGTTTTGTGGGAAAAACACCCCAAAGATTGTTACAGGGTTTTGCAGGGAGGTTGTGAAAGCTACCTTTATATTTGTGTCCAGTACTTATTAACACATTGTTTTTCCAGCTAGGTTCAACATTTTTTAGACGGCTGGGGTGGTCTCCTTGTGGCCATTTTATCACTACTACTCATGGCTTTCAGAAACCGAGACACTCAGCTCCTGTGTTAGAAAGAGGTGAATGGTCAGCCACATTTGACTTTTTAGGTCACAGTGCACCCATCATAGTGGTGAAGTTCAACCATTCAATGTTTCGGAAGTATTTTGCCAATGGCCAGGAGGCAAAAGTTTCTTCTACTGGATTGACTAATGGTTCCTCCAAAGCTGCATCGAAGGAACTACAACCGTATAATGTTATAGCTATTGGAAGTCAGGATCGTACTATAACTGTATGGACAACAGCAAGTGCTCGTCCTCTCTTTGTTGCCAAACACTTCTTCTCTCAAAGTGTTGTTGATTTATCATGGTAAAATGTTCTCCAGTTGAAGTCTTCTAAATAATACCATTTCTCAGCATCCTCTTTTATCCTATTCTGAAAAGGCATCTTTCATTGGATCAGGAGTCCTGATGGATATGCACTTTTTGCTTGCTCCTTGGATGGGACTGTGGCCACTTTCCACTTTGAAGTGAAGGAGCTCGGTCACAGATTAACTGATGCTGAGCTGGATGAGTTGAAGAGAAATCGATATGGTGATTCCCGAGGAAGGCAAGCAACCTTAGCAGAGAGTCCTGCGCAACTCTTACTAGAAGCAGTCGCTGCTAAGAATTCAGCCAAGAAAGCATCTTCTTGTCTGCAGCAGAGTCAGGTTTCTGAAAAACCATCTGCAGATTTGGCAACTGCAACTGTTACTCAGCCGGTAGCAAAAGCTCCTGAAACGATACCTGAAGATATGAAGAAAAATGAAGGGTCTAATAATGATGGTTTGAATAAAGCTGCATCTGCTCGGCTATCTAGTCCTGTAAAGCAAAGAGAATACAGGCGTCCTGATGGTAGGAAGCGAATAATTCCAGAAGCACTTGGAGGTCCTGCACATCAAGAAAATATTTCAGGTCCCACCCAAGCTCGAGGAACTGATTTTTCTTCCTTAGCCATTGATCAGCAAAGAGATGGCCATGGAGCAACTGTTGCTGACAGTGGAATCTCTTCTCTTAAACGGCCATATAGTAATAGGGAGCGTTCTGGAGTTACTGCAAGGGCCAACATTAATGAAAGCCTTGTTATTGAGAAAGCGCCAGCATCGGCTGCGACAGAGGGAAGAATGAGTATAGAGCATTCAGGGCCTATAGGCATATCTGGCCCTTTAAGTTCTTGCAATGCTCTTTCTATTCGCGTATTTAATAAAAAAGATAATGATGACGTACCGATATGCTTGGAAGCTAAGCCTGTTGAACGCTCTGCAAATGATTTAATCGGTGTTGGAAATGCATTTTTGACTAAGGAAACTGAAATTACTTGCACGAAGGGAAGCGAAAAACTTTGGTCAGATCGGATTGCTGGAAAAGTTACTGTTTTGGCTGGGAATGTCAATTTCTGGGCTGTTGGCTGTGAAGATGGATGCCTACAGGTATGTTGACAGCTATCTTTTCTTGATTAAAAAAAAGGAAGAAGATATTTTCCTATGTTATGTTAGAGTTTGAAGTGGATATTTTCTATCTCTATTCTGTCAAAAGTTTCTTATGGAGTTAGGAATTAGGATCTTGCCATGACATTCTAGCACAGAATTATTGGAATTAGGATCTTATCGACTGTACACAGCACTGTAGAAATGTGTTACGATAGGCTTTAGTGAACATACCCGTAGATATATTTCTTTGGGTATTACTGACCTTCCGATCATTTGGATTCGTTCCAGCTATAGAAGTAGGAAGGTTTGGTAGCTAACAACACCAGCTTTAATTGCACAGAAGTATATAGGTTAACTACATGTCTTGTCTGTCTTCTATGTTAGATATAAAGCTTTTTCCTTAGACTCACTTGTAGCCATGTGAACATACAAGTCAGAACTTTTGCTTGTATAATATGTGACTGCATCTGTATATAATCAGTAGATCTTAAGTTCACACAATCACACATGGTATAAATAATTTGTTTAGAGAACATGCATCTTGCCAACCAATCAAATGGAATATAAATACTCGAGAATTAAGGATTACAACAAAAGTTTCTAAGTAACTGACTTTCTGCTAATATTTAAAATTCAAATCTGCAATTTCCTTTTTTCCATATATAAATTATCTCATTTTGATATTTTAATTGGTAAAGAACAAAATTTGGTCTTTCGTTCTAACTACGTAAACTGCATGCATATTATCTCTTGTCGCTCATGTGTACATGAAAATAGCCAAAAGCTTCAATAAATATGAACAAGCTGGTTGCCGCTATATATGATTCAATAGAGGTCGAACCTGTGAAACCCAAGTAGTTCTTCATACTTAAGAAGATTGCCCTCCTGTGTAAGCCGTGGGTTCTAAAAGAATCTAAACTGTGCCTTCCAAAAAGAAAGCGAGAACAGCAATAGCATTATTAATAAAGAATACTGAAGGTTTTGTTTCTTTATAGGTATACACAAAATGTGGAAGGCGAGCCATGCCGGCAATGATGATGGGATCTGCTGCAGTATTTATAGACTGTGATGACTGTTGGAAGTTGCTCCTGGTCACAAGAAGAGGACTCTTATACGTTTGGGATCTCTTTAACAGGAACTGTCTTCTGCATGATTCATTATCTTCTCTGGTGACTTCAAGGGAGGATTCATCTGTAAAAGATGCAGGTATGTAGTTTTGCTGATATTTTTTTGACTCGGGAGTAGCATCTCTTTCCTTAGTTCTTCTTGCCTGGTTATATAGAAAATGATGAATAAGCTGAAGAGTAAATAAATTTACTTCAATTTATTTTTCTATCACATTGATAAATGCATCCAGCTGACCAAAAAAAAAAAAAATGGAAAAAGAAAAGAAAAGAAAGAAAGAACGAAAGAAAAAACTGCTGGCATGGGGGGATTTATGTCTTAAAAGTTAATCGGTTCACTTTCCTTCTCTCCTTCTGGAATCAAAATCGCTCAAGCTGTATTTCTCGCTTTTATTATCCCAGACAACTGTTTTTTTCTCTGTTTCTCCCCTAATTTGTCTGGGGTTGTGTCTCAGGTACTATCAGAGTTATATCTGCAAGGTTTTCAAGATCAGGCTCACCTTTGGTTGTTCTTGCTACACGTCATGCATTTCTTTTTGACATGAACTTGATGTGCTGGTTGAGGGTAGCTGATGATTGCTTCCCTGCCTCAAATTTTGCAAGCTCTTTCAGTTTGAGTTCAGTCCATAGCGGTGAACTGGGAAATTTGCAGGTTGATATTGGGAAATATATAGCCAGAAAGCCAAGTTGGAGCAGGTTTGTATCTCCTCCATGTTTTGTGTTGTATCATTATTTTGGCTTCTCCCTTGTAAAAAGTTTCATGGTTTTGTATGTTATACAGGGTAACAGATGATGGGGTTCAGACTCGTGGTCATTTAGAGACTCAGCTGGCTTCAACATTGGCTTTGAAGTCACCTAATGAATATCGCCAATGCCTTCTTTCTTATATCCGGTTTCTGGCGAGGTTCGCAAACTATTCTATCTCCTCCACTGTGTTGATTCTAGATTCTTTGATTATTTTCATTCGAACGTCATTTTCTTTCTAAAACCTTTGGAGTCAATTTGTACATGCATTTTACTTACATGAAGAAAATTACAAAATTTCCCTGAGTGGATAAACATGATACTTGCAGCAACTAAGACCTGTAAGAAACTAAGATAAACGCTTCACTCTGGAATCAAAAATATTCTTCAGTAGCTAATTGGAATCTCAAGTGTCATATTAAGAACGTCATACACATGAAAATTTAAGTTATATAGGAAAATGACTTCTAGAGGTATATGTGAAAGGATGATCTCATGCTTCCAAAGCTGAATGAATTACTTTGCAAGATGAGCAGCACTTATGTTAAGTACATTATTAAAAATAGATGATACTGTTCTATGCATTGTGGAGAAACAGGAGCTGAAACTCAAAACATTAACTACGTATCTACTTTAAAAAACAACTAGGCAACCTATCTTCTACCTCTTAAAGCAAATGTTGCTGATCACAACTGGTTTTCCTATTTATTTCTTTTCTTTTGTAGGGAGGCAGATGAATCACGCCTGCGAGAAGTTTGTGAGAGCTTCCTTGGCCCCCCTACAGGAATGGCTGAAGCTGAATCCGCTGATGCAATGAACCCTGCATGGGATCCGTGTGTACTTGTGAGTCTTCTCTCTCTTGTTCTCCCTTTCATATTTCAACACTATAGCCAAAATACACGCCTTTCCAAGTTGCAACCAGCACCCAATGAAAATCCAAAGAACATTGAACCAAAACTACCTAGAACTACAATTGCAGTTGTAAATTGCAAAATTGTAAAATTGAACCAAGAAACTGTAACTAAAGCTGCATGTGACAATAACAATTACAATTACAGTTACAACAAACCAAATAACCCCAAAATAAAACTTCACTGCATCTGGATACTGCATCCAGGTTGCTACAATGGATAACTTAAATAGCGTTCTACTAGCTTCTCCTTTTTTCTCGTTACTGATGAATTTTGTCTGGTTGCCATATTTTAGGGAATGAAGAAGCATAAGCTCTTAAGGGAAGACATTCTTCCAGCCATGGCATCTAATCGAAAAGTCCAAAGATTGCTAAATGAGTTCATGGACTTGCTTTCTGAATACGAAACTGCTGATGCAAGTGGAGATCAAATGGATACTTCACCTACCATAAAGGAGACTGTTTCATGAGGAAACTAGCTCTCCCCATCTCAAAAAAAGTAAAATGTATTTTTAACATACGGGGTACAAAAAAGGGTAGTCCTCAATGATTTGAAATTTTGTGGATAAACCGTCCATGATAAAGTTTTATGGTCTCCCATACCTCATTCGGTCTTCAATGTAACAGCAGTCAAGGTTTCTATAAGAAGGATAGGTTTACGTTTGTAAGACAAAAATCTACAGAAATATCCTCACTCAGCTAAAAATGTAACTTTGAAGTGTTTTCCCTTTTCTTTTTTCTTAGAGCGTTATCTGGAGCTAGTATTCTTGACTATGTTACTGCAATTGAGGGATAACCAGAACAAGGAAGTTTAGTCTTCTCCAATTTACATTGAGCTTCCTGTACTTCAATTTGTTTGATTGTGTAATATTTTCTTCTAATTGAGGTTTTTCATAGTTGGATGTGCCTTATGTTGAGCATTTTGAATTATGGAGCTATGGTTGTATGACCTAGGTCTTATCCGTGCTTGTACTTTGAAATTTGAAATAGTGGGCTGTCAGGATTTTGATAGGTAGATTGGATGAATGGATTGGACTCACAAATTCAAGCCAGTTATGGGGATGCATTAACTTGCTTCTGGACCACTCTGTAGCACAAAAGTTTCCAAGTTGATGTCATTTATGTGAAATTGCTTCCTTTTTGCTAGTTGCTGCTGATAATTGCAGTGAAACTAATGTCTGTCATAGAACTTATATTTAGTTTGCGAGTGTTTATGATTCAACTGAAGATAATTTGCAATTTAAACTAAATAATCCAAAGTATAGATGCTATTTCAAATTTTCTGAGTGCTTCCTATATTGCATGGCATAATATTATAATCAAGATGCCATCTCTTGTTCGAAAATTCAGGAGCAGTACTGTAAAACATCTCAAAATTTCTTTTGCTTTCTCAGCAACCAGGATTCTGTAAACAAATGCTGTCATCTTTTATTAATTAATCTCCAAATCCTGTTACTTCGTCAAATTTGCAAATCTAAGCTACTGCAGAAATTTGTACCCTTGCCTTGGCAGATGGATTCTTCAGTAAAACAAACATATCCAAAGTAACACTGCCAGCATTTTCATAGTCATAGTCATAAATGTGATCAAGCCGAAAACTCTCTCTCACTTCATTCATTTTGAATTACAATTAAGGAGGGAAAACAAACTACAGACACAAACCGGCCACTGATCAAAATAAAAAAAGTATTAAAATCTCAGTTCCTCTTCAAGTGTCTTATAAAGGAAAGGCTTGATTTGCTGGAACACTGCATCCCATCCAGCTTGACTTGGATGTACAGAATCCCAGTACAAATACTCGCTTGGGTCCCGACATAAACTGTACTGCTCAACTCCCTCATCGTTGACCTGTCCACAGCTGAAACTTTCCAGTTTTCCTTCACAGCAGGGCCTAAATATGTGGTTGAATTTCCTCGCTCCTTTCTCTGTAGAAAAAAAAGTACTAGAGATTACAATTTCTGATAGCAGAAATCAAAAGTTTATTTTGATCAGTTACCTTGATTGATAATAGACAAGAAAGCAGAATGAAGGTCGAGGACGACGAAATCTGATGAAATGCTGTTTTTCTTTGCGTTTAACTGATAAACGGCTGCATTGAGATTCATGTTGTGTCCTTCAACGGCTAAACCTTTCGTTTTGTCGCAACCTTTATAGTTGTATTTCCTGGTTACGAGAGGAGCGCACCCTAGTGGGGTTAGATTTGTTACCAACACTTTGTTTACTCCAAGATTATGAATTCTCTTTAGTTCTAGCTTGAGATTATCAGTGACATTCTTGATATAGTCCAGAATTTCCTGCTCAAATAAAAATCGGTTAGAACATCCTATTGATAGTGTTGCTATGTGAATATAGTCTCACGTTAAAAAGATCAGAAAAGAGTAATGAACTTAAATAGACAGTTACGAGTTTAGTTTATGATATGTCACTCACATTTCGAGTACAATTTTTATCAAAAAGCTGATGATAATCATTTCCAGATATCGTGACAAGCGCTATAGAAGACTGGATATCGTATTTTGTGTACACACTTTCATTGATCTGACCCTGAAATGTATCAACCTGAGCAGAGAGATTTCGCTGAAAATTTCCCAGATCGAAAACTCCTGTTCCTGAAACAGCGAAGTTCATTCCATACTTCAAGAGATCGGAACTGACTCTTCGACGAAATTTGTAAGGAACTGGAGATCTGATTCCAATGAAAGAAGCTGACACATGAGACGAAAACAGGTTACATTCAGGTTCAGTGCATGTAACTAAGAATTAATAGAGTTTTATTTCTTGTAACATTTTTATATGAAGTATGTGGATGTGGGTCACATGGAGTAGGTAATGTTGTTGTGTAAAAAGCTGTTATAATGAGTTAAATATTAAAAAGTTAACTTTGAGTCAATCCTAGGAAAAAGAGAAGGGTTCCCCTGGAGAAAAAGTGTTTCAGTGAGATTAAAGCTTGGTATTTTATGTCTTTGAGCATCAAGCATATACTTTGAAGCATTCATAAAGAACAAAAGCATCACCAAAATATATAATAGTTCTAGAGAGCACCTTACTTCATGCAACTTTGAGAAAAGAGGGACTGGCAGCAATGAAAGGAAAGAAAAGAGCTGGTCATCAAGCTATTTTCCATTATATCTTCTCTTTTGTAAAGATTTAGACCTGGACTACAATATCCATAAGTATTCTTCATTACCAACAAACTCATTTTTTCTCAAAAAGAGAAAAAGTAAAACGTAAATGAAAATGAAGAACATTATGTAGATAATTAACCTTCTTGATTTGTTTTTCTTGCCTTAGATTTATTGAATTGATCCATATTCTTTCGGCCTATAATCAAATATAATTTATAACATGCTTTAAATACGTATCTCGTGGGATATGAACCTAGGTCCACCATACCAAAACTCTAGAGTTAGAATGACCTTTTGAGGATTATAATTTTATGAGCTAACAGATTCTTGTTTAGATTTCTATAGTCAAATTGTGATACTTAATGATTGAACTTCTCTCTTTAATGAATAAGGAAAAGTAAAGGAAAACACTTACCGATGAAATCGGAAAGGACTTTTCCATCGGAAAACCGACCAGTAGGCTTACGAGGAAAACTCATGCCATAAGGCTCATACCAACACCTTGTCAAACTCCTATCAAGCTTCCCAAGATTTCCAGTATCAGCATATGAATCTCCAAACACAAACAGTTTCTGAACTCCACTTACATTTGCTTCACTTCCTACACTTGCACAAGAAAACAAAATGTAGAAAAAGAATTCCTAGTTTCGATGAAATCGAATCAAAGAAGAATCTTACCTCCAATGAGAACAGCCAAGAAGCCATAGAGGAGGAGTAAGATATTGGCATTGTCCATTGAGGAGAGCTCAGCTTGATTAATAAAGGAAGGAGGGGGCAATATATATAGCTAAGGCATGGTATTGGGACTAGTGGACGTGGTTATTTTAAGGAAAGTAATTTTCTTATACAGTTTAGGTATTTTATACTTGAGTTAGAAACGATTCATTAATGTGTAATAAAAGCCCAACATCCTTATGAGTAGTCTTGGTTATGGGCAGTGAGAGGTTAAGTGAAGCTTGCTTGTCCTTTTTCTTGATTTGGTTAATCTCATGTAAATCATAAGGGGAAAAAAGAAAAAGATGGAAAAAGAAAGTAAAGGGAAAAATAAAAGGAGGAGAAGTTGAGTTATACCAAGTTTCCCTCTCAAGTCTTCTCTCATCCTGCTTCTTTACAGTTGTTTTAGCACCCAGCTTTTTTTCCCCACTTCTTTTATTAATTAGATCAACAGTTTTAGTACGAAAGTTTCCATATTAGAAATAATTATAGTGTAAATTCAATGTGGGATTATTCTTTGAGGTTCGTTTAATTTGGCACTTAAATTAGCATGTTCAAAGAATATTGAGCTTACTGTGAATATATATTCTGTGTTGAGGATAGGAAATATTCAACACTTCAAGAAATAACAGTTTTCCTGTCACAATCATAGCCTCTGTTATCTTGGGTGTGTGATTATCTATGTGATGGTTGAGAATATCGCGTGGCCACTCAATGAGATTTTTTTTATCTCCCATGATTCTACTCTTTGCAATGAACACATTTATACTATTATTATTTCAAGTAGAAGACTGGGACTAGAGGCATTTAAGATTATGTTAATGGCAAATTCATCAAAACCATCCTGTAATTTGGGGGTGATTTGCAAAATAAATTTTATTCCACTTTGCGGGCAAGTAGGATAATTTTGAAGCTTTTGTATGTTATAAGGTGGTTTTTCATTGAGACATCTAAAGTTAGATAATTGCATAAAATTATATGTTATTACACTAAATATGTAAATAAAATATCAAAATATAATTAGTACCATGCGAACATAACCTTGTCATCTGCATTAATTTTGAAAAAAAATGTCCGATAGAATTTGATGAGGAGAAGAATAAGATGATCATATAAAATTCAATCTAAAATAGCTCATTGCGCATCAATTAGTTTTTTGTTTAGAGTTATCATCAATTTGAGAAGCTCACTTGTCAACTTAATGTGACACTGTGAAAGGATCTAGCGTAGAAAAAGAAAGAAACCAAATTAGAAAAGAAACAAACATTAGAATCATATGTAAATGTGATTTAATACCTTCTATGGGTTCTGATTTTTTTATGGAGAGAGTAATCTATCCTTGAAGAATAATTCACGTTATTTTCACATGAGAGGAAAATTAGGTAGACAGAGCAATTGAGATAATTATTGTGAAGAAAAGTTGGTTGAGTCATAAGTACTGGTCACTATTGGTGGTTCAAATGATACATTTGGGATTCAAACATTTAGTAGAACTCATAGGTAAAGAAAGATTCTTAGTTGGAGCAAAAACATTGAATTCTTATTTTTTATTTTTGTCAAATGTAATTAAAGATAGAGAATAGTCATCCTGATTCATTTATGAGTTAGTTGTAGATACATCAGTCTCCCATCAGTAGCAAAGTATATACCTAAACTCCAAACAAAATTATTTCTCCACAACCTGCAAGCCATTTGTTGTCCAATGAATATTAATTAATTTTTTCCTCATAATTCAACACAAGTACGGTTGGTGATACGTACTACGATGACTACAATTTCAATACGATACTCGTTCTTT